TCTGAGCTCATCTCCAAGAGATAAATTTATCCTCGTCGACAAACGTTTTAAAAATAAAAATGAGCAGTGTCAAGGTGGCAGATAAATTAAATGCTATCCTTTGGCAGTCAGATAATCCAAACATGTAATATTAATTTTATTAATTAGTTAAAGGATCATCAGAAGCACTGATAACTTCAAATGCTGCTTTCAGCTTATTAAACGTGTTTAAAAAATATTATTCTGGTATTAGTGTATAAAACATATTAGTGATATACTTTAATAGGACACTTACTTTAATCTGAATTAAGTTGATGGTTATAATTTGACAACTTATATAATATAACATTACTATAGCAAATGATAACTATAACAATAGTTTTACCGTCAATATTTTATAGAAAATGCAAGGAAACTTTTTGCTTCACAGCAACTTCATAGCATGTCCGTCTGAATTAAAACACATGTTTTTTCTAATCACCATACAAAATGTATGGCTGCACTTAACATACGTAACACATTAGAGCAATGCAAGTCAATATTGGCCAAGCATTTAATACACAACAATCGACATAAATGTATTAATAAACCAGCTTAATTGGAATATCAATTTGCCGTTTGTTCAGCCTAATTGTTAGAGGTTCGTTGTAATGGTACTGTTTTGTAATAGTCTTTTGGTATTATTGTATTTCTTAAATCACTTTAAAAGTTTTATTATTGATGGAACTTTAATATTGTTTTCAATTATACATACAGGTATCAAGACATTTTCTTCTCACTTGAGTTATTGACATAGTGCTTTACGCTATTATATTTTTAAATACTTACATATAATTGTTTGGCATGTTTTATAACATCATTGCTTAACTCATAATTCCAGTTAATGTCTGAGGCACAGCTTCGCCATCGTTCTTTTTGTTGCTTTGTGAATGTTTTGTATGTTGGCCTTTATTTTGGAATTAATTATTTGTGGTATTTATGGACATTGATTTAGAACATATTGGAAACATTTTCTATCACAATAAGCACAAAAGCAATTCTTACTGGAGCAGTTATTTGTCAATATAATATACCATTTCAGCTGAAGGCTGAAACAAGTTTCTGATGCCGAAATCTCGTAAAAACATGGATTTTATTATCGTTGTACAAAATTTTGATTTTAATTAAATTAAAAATTGTATTTAAATATTTTAAAATTTAAATATTTATTGGTAGTTTATTATATATGGTGAGTTTTCTTAGTACACTGTTATTGTTTACAGAAAACTCCCACATCAATTTTGTCCCTTAACCATTGGCTCAGGATGTTTAACCCCCTTAAGATGTTTTAGGAACAAATCTTTTGGAACCATCACGTGTATTCATGTATGTATATGATAAAAAAAAAAAATCATTTTAAATTAAACATTCGTATTTAATTAAGTGTCATACAAACCTACAGATAGGGAATAAATTTGACGATATCAATTTTATATTTAATTAAAAGTATGCATATGATCTCAAATTTATTTTTAAAGCTTAAATTCAACACTATTATCGCACTCAAGTTTTAATACAAATATATAAACCCTAATACGTGTTGTTGTTGCCTTTAAATCCTGATATTTAAAAAATGTAAACGTTTTGTATGGATCTATCAAATTACACAAAATACTTGTCGAAATCAGCCAATTCCAGTTTTTTTTATTAAACTTAATAACTTAAGTGTTAATACACTCTCAAAAAAATGTCATGAAAGTATCATTATGAAATGAAATGTGATTTATTGTACAATTTGGAACATTACAGAACTAACAGAGATAAACATAGTTAAAACATTATAAACGATAAACGGTGCTTTTAAAACAAAAAAGACACTTCATGTAGTATTCCTAGATTCAAGAACAAATAATTAATTATGTTGTTTACCTTTTGATGGCCAGGTTCTTGATGAATTAAAGTCCAACGCCTTTCACAGATGAAGTCCATCACCTCAAGAAGCCAGTACAAAGACAACAGCCGGGCAGTCGAACAGTGACATATATGTAGCACCCCCGGTCCGCGCACGCGCTCGCGTGCTCGGGATTCCACACTCGCGCCATGAATCGTCCGCGAATGTAAATCAGTGTAAATAAAATAGGATAGTGCGTTTTTTAGTAACTAAGTAATGTGAGAAGAAACAAGAAACAGCTCCTGATGATGCCACACTGGTGGCGAAATGTACATAGAGCGTAAACTTCTTAATTCATCAAGAACCTGACAATCAAAAGTTAAACAACATAATTAAAAAGACACTTTTTTATACTTAAAATTCGGAAAACGTTAACAATATAACTTATTAAAAATGTAAAGGATTGTTTATAAAATTTAATACGTGATGACAATAAATTCAATCAAATATTATACAGTACACATCTCTATTTTCTGTCGGTTGAATGCTAAGACTATTGGGTCGATAGTAGACTACTCTATTCAAGGCCAGAATCATAATGTAAAATTTCAGCACCTTTTGAGTGTTAAGTGCAGCCAATATCACCCTTCACAAAAAGAACAATACAAAATCTCTGTTATACGTTCACTTCGATACTTCTTAAGCGATTCAATTCAAAAAGGAATTTGCAGTGTCTAGGTAGTTTAAAACATAGACTGCACGATCCTATTGCATATTTTTATAGTTTTTATATTCATTTTCCACTACAACAATTCGTACTGTATTTATGAATCAAAAGCTCCCTTGAAAAAGGAAATATTATAAAATGTATCAATCTTATTAAAACTATAATGATTATATTCTACCACTTAATAGTAGAACATACTTTAATTTTACTTGTTTAATCTGCATCAAAATACTAATGCATTTCTATAAAAAAATATTATTGACAATATTTGACTTTTCAAAATGCCAGTTACATTATAGGTACATAATACTTATTACTTATTACTTATGCTTATTATTATTATTAGTTAAAAATCAACGTAAAATTAAGTAAGGATAAATTTGAAAGTGTAAGCATACGTGAATAAGGTTAGGTACGTAAAACTCGTCTTAATATAATAGAATTACAAACTTTTAAATTAGCAAAGTTTTGCTGCTCAGTATGGTAACCCGTAAAACTCTCTAGTTTTTTTTGTTATTTTTATTTTTTTTTATATAGATCAATTTAAATAATGTTTTACTAAGTTTGAGCTCACTTGGAGAATACACTATATTTATCCATTATTTTGTAATAATCAATAACATTTTCCATTTTTATTTTAAGTACATCAAGAATAATGAAACAAAATTGGTTCCAATATTTCTTTATGAAAATGCAATAGCTTGCTTTGTTGGAGAAAAATTGTATTAAGGCTGCACACAGGAACAAAGGTAGATTCTAAGAAGTGCGAATATTAAATGCTGGCAGCAGAGAGGTAAATATACAGCACTGAACCCTGTAGATAACCTTATGTAAGATAAGCAATTGTTGAGTACATAAGCTAAGCCACCTGTTTCCGATATTTATGCAATGCTGCGACAGTATTACTAAGCGGGGTTTTCTCAGTACCACTATCATTGCTTACAACATATCATTGTTATTTACGTTTGATGAAACTATTCTGTTAAGAAACGTCAATCAATAGATTTGAAATGAAATTTATATGTTTGGTCCTTACAAAAATCGAACGGACGTGTTAACATGAGTAGTAAGAATGCAGTTTTATGTATTTTTTTATTTACAAAATCAGTGCACACGTTTTGTCTATTAATCAAAATAATATAGGTGTAAGCAAATATTGATTGTTAGAAGAATAACTATTTCTTACACATTGTTTTAAATACATGTATATTACGCTTCATGCTTAAGTAAAAAAAATCAGTCAGTTAAAAATATATCACGCTTATAACTTCTTCAGATGATCCAAATAAAATTCCAAAAATGAATACTTTTATATATAAATTTTATCATACTTTTTCTCCATATTGGTAAAGAAAACCAATCAGTATGCAGTTAAGGAATAAAATATTAAACCCACGACTATGTTAAGGTTACGAGAATATACTTGCATCATTGGTTTTTTCGTGTTAAACATGTGTGTAACTATGTTGTTTATATAGTTGTATTATATGTTGTTTATATGTTTACATGTTAAACATGTTATTTAAATGGACCAACAGAATAAATATTATACTCAAATATAACTGCCAATATTATATTATCTCAAAGTTTATTTCTATAATAGTTGAAGTGGTTTACAATGCTCTTAAGTGTAAAAAACTGTGCTTTCAGTTTTGCTTTGTAACACAAGTTAGCATAGGCTTTTCAACACACATCAGTCTGTGACAGTATTTAGCTCAATTCAACTACTTAATTTGAATCAAACGTTTGTTGCTAAAAGTGGCATTTTGAAACTCTATATGAAAAAAATATCTAAGTTGTCTTTGATGTGCAAATTTGCAACTTGGTCTAACACATTTCGTCATCCACTAAATTATCATAAACCATTCTTAATTATATGCTACATAATTATCCGTTATTGCATCGTCGATATCATGGATTTATAAACTCGTAACATATAAGATTGAAGGCATATTAAAATATACTAGGTTCTTCTTATCTATTGTAAAAGTTATATGCGGTCGCGGACGAGAACAGTTGCGATAGACTCAGGATTACTGTATCTTGGATAACAGTATCCTGGATAGCAGTATCCTGGATAGCATTATTATGGATAACAGTATCCTGGATAGCAGTATTATGGATAACAGTATCCTGGATAGCAGTATTATGGATAACAGTATCCTGGATAGCAGTATTATGGATAACAGTATCCTGGATAACAGTATCCTGGATAACCTTATCCTGGATAACAGTATCCGAGATAACAGGACCTGGGACAACAGTGTCCTGGATAACAGTATCCTGAATAACAGTATCCTGTATAACAGTATCCTGGATAACAGAAATTAACAATTTTAACTATTATCTTTTTTTCCTGAGACTGGATATGTCTTCAAGATTGGAATACAATTATTACTCCTGTCAATTAATGTTTGTACTCACCGACGGATGCTGGTCTCCTTTGACATTCTGAAGTGCCTTGTTGTGGGCTGTGGGTGGAGTCTTGGCCTCGGGATTGCTGGCAGAGGAGGTAGCGGGCTGACTAGGAGTTCCAGAAGCTGGAGATTTACTGCCTGGACTTCCGGTCGTCCTGAAAAATCCCCAGGACCACTTTACACAATGTAAGCTTCTCAATGTCAATTAAAGTCACAATGATTGTCAATGAAAACTGTCAATCAACAAAAAATATTTGTTTGACAGTGCTCAAATTGTACCCTGATACACAAAATACGAGCCTTAATCTTGGGCTTCACTTGTGTCATTCTTAGATGAAAGAGTTATAGTTTATTTCACTGACATGACAAGTTTTCCTTTATATTCTTTGCAAACAAATAAAGGTTGACGAGGATCAAATAATTTAAAAGTTGTTTTGACAGATGACAAACTATGAATATGGCTGCAAGACAAATGCTGAATAAGGAATAAGCTAATACCGTAGGTTTTATGGTAAGACAGTTAACCTAAAATTATAAAAAAATATTCATTAACCGAACTTTTTCCATGTTAAATTTGTTTTCTCATCACTAAAATGTTTAATGTTTCATTTTGGAATTTTGTTTTTATATTATAGTAATATTGCATCTTGAATTAAAGCTTAGCTCATAAGTAATGCACAATTTAATCAGAGTATGGGTGTCTGCACTTTCTTGAAAAAATATAAGGGAACCATAAGTCAGGCATTCTTCACATATTTCACAGCTATTTTAAACGGGTAAAACTCTAATTCATGCAGTATTCTCAAACTATTTTAATCCTATGAATATAAATTATTCTTTAGGACTGCTCCTGTTTAATTAAAATTTGAGTGAATAAAAAGATCAAATAACATAGATAAGGTTGTTTGAACTAAACCTTCTTGCTGGTGTAAAATATCTCTACAACCGTGTAATGTATATTTATTATCGTTGCAATAGTTTATTATTAGTTTGACTTACTCAATAATCTTTTTCAATATTTTGATAATTCCTGATCCCTTATCAACATTTGACAGCTACTTCAACAGCATACACCCATATCGCTACAATCTTTCCTAAATAAGACTGAAAATGATGGTGTTTTATGAAACTGTTAAGGTGGTACTTCAACCTTTGTATTGACTATGTTATAGACTATGCCGACAAGACTAATTAGATATACCGGAGTAAGTAGCAAACTATTTGAGAATGCATACTTCATGTTGAAAATAGACCAAACTGTACAGATAGTTTGCAAACTAAACCGTAATGAAAAGCTTTTCACAGAGTATCACAAGTAGGATTGATTTTAGTAAAACTGGCATAGTTTGTGCTTGTTCGAGAACACTCTGAAATAACATAAATCCTATCATAGCTAATTGTATTACTTTCAAAACGAACATTCTACATCAGTTTGTGAGATGATTTATTTTGAAACAACATAAAACACTCATCTTCTCGTTAAAACATTTAAGCTGCTTATTTTAATAGGATTTAATTGAGAGTTAAAATTGTTTCATCTCAATTGAGAAAATATGTACAGTAACATTCTGAGTAATTAGAGATAGAACGCAGAGAACTGAAAAACTAAGGTAAAAATATAGATCGTACACAATTATTATACAATTTGAATGATCCAATAATGTTCATGCCACTTCACATATTTCGAACATCCAACTTTTAGTAATTTGTTGATTTGTAGAATAGAGTATTGGGTATTCAAACAAAAAATAATGATACTTGACTTTAGTCTATATCAGTTTAGTCAAGTGGAAGGGGAGTTTTTCAGAAACAGAAACTATGCATGGAGGCGAGGGTTGTAAGTGTAGTTTATTATTAAAGCCCACACCGTGCTCAGATGAACCATAGAAGGGAGTGACACATCGCTTTTGATTTTTCGCGTCAGAGTTGTAGTTGAATGGAATGTTTTGCAAAGTGCTTTCCAAGCAGTGAGAATGTTCTTGAATTATTTGTTTTTTAGAGACCTCCACTTTTTGTAAAAGTGGTTTGCTCCAATTCCTATGTTTTGCACATTTTCTATTAGAACATGCTATTCTCAGATTGATTATCTTTCGTTTAAGCAAATATATGTTTTACTAATCAAGCAGGTTTTATCTACGTCCTCCGGTTTTGGAATTTATTCGTGCAAAAAAACAAAGATTACAAATCTTTTTCTAAATATAAATTTTAAGCCTAATGTTAAAATCATTTTTGCATTTGATTTCCAAAATGTTTCCCCGGATACTTGAATAGAGTTTTTTTTTATTATTAAGTTAACTGCGATATTTTAACTGAAAAATAAAAATACGAACTTAACAGCAGGAATATTTAAATTCGATTTCTTATTATACCTCAGTTTGATGATACAATACTATAAATAGAAGCCTACGTTTTCGAACAAAATGTTGCCGATTATTAATCGTTCGAGTAATTTATTCTGAATAAAGAACTATCCTAGCAGCTCCTTGTAACATTGCAACTACCAAAGTAAAAACATTACAAATATAATAATCCTAGACAGAACTTAAGGTGATTTTGGATCAACATTGCATGAAAACCATCCAAAATATTATAATTTTTTCCAATTTCTTTAATACAAAGTTTTCAGAATTGAAACTAAGATACATTTGTCAAGAAAACTATGTTAAAAATCATGAAAAATAAGGGTCGGAAACCATGTTTATACGTTTATAACACAGATTAAACTTGAATAAGCCTTAGGGCAAAATTGACAAAAATCTAAGAGGATGCTAAACTTTGACGACCACGCTAGAAGAATAAAGAAAACATCACATTGGCTGTTGTGCGTCATATGTGTGTTAGGTTAAGATACTTGGCTGCCATCGATGTCGATTCATATTCAGATGGGGTGCGAAGTTTCTGCCGAGAATGATTTGCAAGCCAAAGTAAGCTGGAAACACCTAATGCCGAACACACCCACTCGCCTTACAGGGACAATCTTACTGTTCCTAATCATATGAGGAATTTTTAACAAGATTTGCCTGTCAATTAAAATAATTTCTAATTAATTTAGGATTAGGCCTATTAAGAATAGACAAAAAAGAGCTAAAACTATTTTACTCTGTTTAGTTTATATCTGACACCTAAGGATAGAAACTAGGCTAAAAACAGTAATCTTACTTGGTTTGGTTTATATTGTATAAAGCAAAAATGACCAAGAAAATAAAACGGTTTATTTGATCTACTTAGTTTATATACCTGATAAAGAACATTTTTCAAAACTAAGATCACTCATCAAAGTTCAATTTTCAATTTTTGTCTAAACAACAACTTTGGTATCATATCAAATAAAAAAAAAAAACTAGTCGTGAGTTCCGTGCTCATTTGTAAACTCACCCCTGTCTACTAAACGAACTGTTAATATTACCGTCTGTTTTGATTGTTGACACGAACCGTACTTCTGGTTTTGTCTCGTATTGAACCAAAGTTAGGAATTTGTTTGACATTTGTCTCCGATTGGTGACCTTTGCAACTAGAGCTTGCAAATAATGTTAATTAGCCTATGTTCGCGTGGAGGTAAGGTGTTCACAAGACAAACGAAAGTCTGAGAGCAACCGACCCTGAGGTAGGCATACAGTGTGTGACCTTTAATTAAGGCCACAATTTCAAAACTCATGGTTGTAAAAAGTGGAAACTTTTAAAAGGTCAACGTTTTTACTAGAGATGATGTAGATGTAGATTTTTCGTTCAACATTAAAAGAAATATAATGTGGATTTTATTATATGCATTATGTATATATTCTTTACGTAAACCCTTAGTAGAACATGTATGAATGTTTTTGATTAAATGTAATCAAAAGTCTCTAACAAAAGTCTGGAGTATAGTCTACCATAATTAATATACTAAATTTTGCTTTTTATGGTACAGTAATTAGACAATTCTAATTAATGTTAGGAATTTTTGTTTTAAAGATTTTGCCTCAAGAAACGCCTAATCGTTAGTCACTAAATATACAACTGGTATAAATTGTATGTATTTGTTAGTTTGTACATAATAATAACAAATTGCACGGTACTTGCAATGCAGTACGAGTCTAACTAGAAGCTGCAATCGTATTGTTCAGCTATTATGAATTCTCTACCACTAATAGTGCGATCACCCATTCCAGGCTTTGCTTCATCAACGATTAATACACATTTAATGGTTTATAATTAGTCCATCTTTATGAAATACTGCTGGGATTTAAATATGTTAAACGCGTATTAATATAGTTTGATCAATAATGTCAAAACAATGGTGAACTGTATTCAAAGCTAACTTAATTCATATGCGTTTCAAGTGATTAACTTATTCTATGTGCGTATTTATTAATTAAAGGTCAGTGATGTAGTTATTAAAATATAGTATATTCTTTAAGACCTACCTGGTTTTGAACATAAATAGCTTATCTCAAAACATCAATCTATTAATTCGATAATCTTCATTTGAAAAACATATCAAACGAAAACAATATCTACAACTGTAAACTGTCTATCACGAGGAAATTCGGAAGTTGAATAAAAACATGGAAGCTATTTTATATATTTTGGTAAAATTTGAATAGTCCACATACCTAAACAGCATTTAAAACATAATAAAACCTTAGGTAAAATAAAATTTTACTTTGAATAATTGTTTTGTCTAAAATATTTTACTTGAAAGTAAAATATTTGAAACACCAGCAAAATAATAAATCCAAAAGAATTTTTATCATAAAAATATAAAACATGAAACAATTGGTAAAAATTGATCCTGGCACTTAAAAAGTATGAAGGATTGACAATCACAATAAAGGCAATATGGTTTAAAGCTAGAATCTTGCATCGTAAGAAAGTCTGCGATAAGTCGTGAAATATATCCCTACTCTTATTGACTTTACAAACTGCAGTCGCAAACCTTTGTTGTGTATTATATGTATCCGAAATCCAGAATTAGTCTTTTGTAAGTACTATAACCGGACTCCGGAAGTTATCTGGACGTCCACCGAAACACTCGTCTTATCATAACTTTTTTACATCTTTATTATATCTTTAAGACTTCTTAGTATGAGTATTTTATCCTTTCCCTATTTATTGACTACATTGGCATTGAACATACTCAAAATGGCGACCAACACATTATGTTCCGTTTATGGTC